TATTGAACCTCCCCTCCCCGCATTATAGGACCTCCCGTCCAATCTCCGGATCGAGGCACGGGCTAAACATAATCTTGGTACCATCGCGGGGACCCCGGCGCAACCCGACCGTCTAAACACAATCTTCGCCCGGGGGGTAGAGGACGGGGACGGGCCGGTTTCCTGTGGACCCGGCGAGCGTTCATCGTTTCCTCATTTCCCCGGCCCCTCCTGCCAATTACGAATATCGATCAAGCGCAGGGTCCGGAGCCCGTGCCCGACCTCTCATCACCACGCTCCCCCCGGCGGGCGAGGGGCGTTCACACCCGGGAGACCCCCCATATATCAGCTGTCCGGAAGGTCGTCCCCGGTCACATGCGACGCGTCCAGTTTGTGATGCGCCGATTTATGGGCCGCGCATTTAAAAAATGTTATAATAGATATGTTTTTTTTTCTTTCTCTAAGGGCATTAACTCCAGCCTGTTTTGGGTTTGGTTTTGGAGATGTTCTGCGACAGAAATGTAAAAATTTACTTTTTATGAACAGACGCAGGCCTACATTTAAAAAAAAAAATGTTCACGTTTCTTTATTTAAATTTTATAATTTTTTTTACTTATTTTAATCAATAATATGTGAAGAAAATATGTCAACGAGTGGGTAAAGTGGAGGCATAATGTAAAATAAAAATATTTTTTTTCAAAAGTTTTTCTAGAAACTTCTGACACTTTCTTGTAATTTCCATCTCATAGTGAATCTCAAAAGTTGTTTTTTTTTTTTCGTTTAAATTTTTTTTTCAAAGAAAAAAAAATCTATTTTGGGGATCCACGTTTCTTCCCAAATGTCTGTGACCTTCCTTTTATTATTGTTCAAGCAAACTTCCCCTTCCTCCCCCTCCCCTCTACCCCCACCCCTCCAAGTTTTCCCCTCTACCCCCACCCCACAAAGCAGAACTTTAAAAAAAACCATAACCAGCACGCAATTACTGTGATGGGCAGAGCTCGCTGAATGAAATTAAGAGAGGGAAAACTGAGGCAAGCACTCATTTCCGTTCACGCACGCGCGCTGCTCGCCCCGTGGAAGCCATTGTGGAGCACAGGGCGCGAGCCAGCCATTGCGCCCCTCAAGTGCTTCAGCGGCAATCACTCTCCGCGCGGGAATAAAGAAACATAAATTAACCATACGTAGCTAGCAACGTCTATTTCTTCCATCCCTCTCTCCATCTCTTCCTCTCTCCCATTTTTGCCCTCCCCACTTCCTCTCCTTCCCCCCTATCTTCCTCCCATTTATCTCCCTCCCTCCCCACCTCCCCTTTCTCCCTTCACTCCCTGCCACTTCCCCTCCCTCCTCCTCCTACCTTCCCTCCTTCCCGCTCTTCCCTACTCTGTATCTCACCATCCTATCCTTTCTTCCCCCCTCCCTTCCCTACTCTGTATCTCACCGTCCTATCCCAATCTCTCCCTGCCACTTCCCCTCCCTAATCCCTCTACCTTCCCTCCTTCCCCTCTTCCCCCTTCCCTACTCTGTATCTCACCTTCCTATCCTTATCTCATTCTTTCCGCCACCTCACAGCCCGTTCAAGTTTTTCCCCGTCCAAATCTTTCTAATGCCTGCATTTCGTTTCGCTGCTTTTCTCCAGTTTTTGTTTTTTTGTTTCGAATTCTCTGGGCTTCGAACGATCTGGATTTTGTGCCGAGGCAAGGGGCGCTCTTGAGCCTGTCAGGGGCGGGACAATGAAGGGGAGGGGGCGATAGGCCCACTCACGCTGTGGATTGGGGGCTTTCGAGGCCAATAGCTGGCGTTCATTGGGGTGACGTCTGTAGCTGCAGCTATGATTAATTTGGCTGTGTGTGTGTGGGGGGGGGGGGGGGGGTGGGGGGGTCAGGTTCACTGTAACCAAGGCTTGCAGTAAAAAAAAAAAGATTTTAATAAAATGGGCTTGGTATGGGCGTTTATATTTGTGTTAGTAACGGCTTTGGTTTTGATGGATATGGATTTGATAGCGGTGTGGGCTTTGATTGAAGTTTGTTGTTTTAAGGGCTTCCTTTGGGCTTCAAATTGGGTTGAGTGAGTCTGGGATGCGGCAAACTAAGGGGCTTTCGCCGTACCTAAAGCAAGGAGGCTTTAAGAGGGCTTGGGTCGAAAGTTGCGACTGGAGTGAATGAGTGGACGAGAGAGTTTAAAATGTCACTCCCCAGATTATCGTAGAAATATAAGAAATATTTATAGAGCAATACGCCGTAATCTTTATTGCTGTAAAGATCTGTAAGGACCTAGTTAAATACGTGTGAGTTAAACTCCACAGATGCAAGAAACCAATCAGTTTGTAGTTCAATTAATCTTTTATTTTGTCATATTAGTTCAAATTTGGTCTCATATTGTTGTCACATCGTTTGGTGCTGTTTTATTATGTCCCATTTTTGTGCCATTTTTATATTACTCTGTTGTGTCACAATGTTGTGTTATACTGTCATGGTGTCACATAGTTATGTCACATTATTGTGTCACATTTGTAGTCACATTTTTATGTGACGATGCTGTGACAATTTTGTGTGACAATGTTGTGTCACATTTAATGTGACAAGGTTGTGTGACAATGTTGTGTCACTACATGCTGTGTAACATTGTCGCCACATAAACCAAACACACATATGGAAGTATCCTGAATGAGTGAAGGACAGTCGTGTTACGCATGCGTCAAGTGGCGTTAGTCATTCCACTCTGAATGGACGGCGCCATCTTGAATGTGTCGACACTTGGGCTCACTTCATTCATACTGGGAGGTGGGAGTGTTTGGTTGGGGGGGGGGGGAGGGGGTGGGAGTGTTTGGTGGGGGGGGGGTCATGGTGGGGGAGGGGGTGTCAATGTGGGAGAATACCGGGAGGTGGGGGTGTTTGGTGGGAGGGGGGTGTCAATGGTGGAGTGTTTGGTGGGGGGGTGTCTATGTGGGGGAGGGGTGAGGGAAGATGATGTTAAAGTTGATGCCTCATCAGAAATACATATCTCTGTGTTTGTGGGGTCAGTACAGTGCTGGAGCTAATTAAGGCTACATCATATTTTCGGTAACTCAGCTCGAGTCTGTTTGTATCTAATTAGCAAATCAAAGCTAAGGGTATTAGTAAGATCAGTTATCGATTATAAAAAATTTCACCATCCACTCCCCCCTAACAACACCCACCCCCACACCCCCAACACTCCCCGACTTCCCCGGGACACCCCCCCCCCACACACACACACACCACCACCACCGATGTCACCGCCGACCTGAGACCCGCTAATCGTGACACTAACGTGAGAGTCGACGTGACACCGACGTGACTCTAGCGCCCTCGGAGCCCTACAGCCGTGTCAGGGCTCGTGTGTCCACGTGACCTCGGGACATGCGCATGACAACAGCAGGCGTGGGCCACACTTCCGCTCGTGTGATGGAAGCCCGACAATGTCGACTGGTTTGTCAGTCCAGGGACACTGGGGGCGGGGTGGGGGGGGGGGGGGGGGTGTTGGTCGGACATCACTCAAAGCTATTGCACTAATCACATATCAGCAAATTCACATCAAAACATCACATAGCCAGGCACCAGCTATACATCACTACATCACTATAACCAGTGACAAACTATATGTATTGTTAAATCATGTTGGCGTGCATATAGAAAAGCAAACATGTGTACAGTAAGTACCGCAGTATTTAAGTGTGTACAGTATATAAATAGGCACGTGCTCTTGTCATTAACACGTGACCGGATGTCGCACGCTGGTGTGGGTGGGGGTGTGGGTGGGCCCCTCCAAAGTTCGGCCTCGGTGGGCCCGGAACTCTCAAGTTGCATCTCAAGTGTCCGTTTCTTGTCTCGTGCCTGGATTTTGACCCTCCTCCACCATCTTCGTACCTTATTTTGTTTTCTTTCGTTGGTAAACAAAAACAGATCACGCGTGATTAAGCTGTTACTATATTTAGAACTGTTAAAAAAGATTTGTAGTGATGTCATTTCTTTTTTTCTATCAGAAACCTTACCCAGAATATCTGTATCCGGATGTTAGACTTTGTTTCGAAACGTAAAGATAACCAAATGTTATCGGAAAAATACCGGATAAAATATAATGAAGCATTATCTAAAACTGCAAGTAGGAAGCTAAAAATGACGTAACTACAACTTAATCTGGATGAGAAAATGTTATTGGAAGAAGTTTTAAAGTGGGTCATAGCCAGGTAGTTGAAAGATATCTAACCCTGGAAAGTGGGGGGGGGGGGGGGGGCATGTCGTCAGATTGCAATTGTTTTGGTAGGGTGGAAAAACAGATGGAATACCCAGGGTAGTGGCGCCACTAGGCCTGGTAAAGATCATTGTTGTAAGACAAAAATTACAGCAAATAAGTCACAGGAACAAAAGACGCAGTTGTGTATTTGAGCCTGTGGCGTAAATTATCCTATAGTGTAGTTTCTATATTATGAAAATAAAATTCGGATGATTATTATTATAGACTATGATAATGCTTTTAAAGTTTATAAATCTTTTATTTAAAAATCCCCCCTGTTTTTATAATTATACATACAAATAAACCGGGAGTGATCTCCCCTAAACTTTCTCGAATATTCTTATATAAAATAACAGGGGATGGGAACTCGGCTATAGACATGATTTTTAATCCATTTTAAATACTTAAAGTTTTAAAAATAGAATAAAATCTCGTAGACAAAAGAATTGCACACCAAGTGAACGCCAAATAAAAAAGTGCATAAAAGTGCGCAATATTAATAGTACTTTAAAAATTTACATTAGTTTTTTGAGAAATCGGAAGTAGCGTAAATTACTACTTCCGGTAAACGGAAATTACTCAAAATTCAAAAGAAGGTAGAGAATTAGATCTTTTACTTACATGTGAAATTTCATTTATCTATCTGAAATAGTACTTAAGTTATAGGCTTTTGAAAAATTCAAAGTAGGAAAAGTACCACTACCGGTTATCGGAAATCGCTCAAAAGTTGATACGGATCTACGATTTTGATAAAAAACTTATATATGAAA